CTCTACATCTTCACTAACTGCTCTCAATATCATACTTAACTATCATCAACATTGTTGCCACATCTCTCAAAGTTATTCTTCATCAACCTTAACTTCGAACTCGTCTTGCATAAATATTGTCCGTGTCATTTCTCGACATCGTAGCTTACTGTATTTACGTCTTATATTATATTTATCAACTGTTTTGTTATGTTATTCTCTTGTAATATTGTTATCACGTCGTGTAGTTTAACTCGATCGAATGCGTTTTGTAAGTCAACCAAACACATAAAGGTTGATGCGTTAAATTTGATCGCTTAACGGGCTGACCTCACCTGCGGCTGCCAAAATATTTCTTCCCGTGCATCATCTGGGGTATCATCTTCTACAAATTTATTGCTGTTGATTTTACTCTTTAATCATGTTGTGTATAAGTTTTTCGTACTTTCGTGTTTTAAAAGCTCTACATTGAGTTTTAAATATATTCGGAGTTGGTGTTCCGTTTTAATTGAGATTTCATTATTATTTTACAGAATACTAGTGAGAGGTCGCTTTCAATGTTTGCAGAATTTAATGTTCTCGCTTTCAGTTTCTGAGAGAGAGTGAAATGTCAATTGGTAATGATATAAATTATGATGGATTGATGGCTATGTACACTCTCCAAGGTTCTGAAATTGTACCAACTCGATTGTTAAAGTACCCTATTAATATAATTTGCTGGTTGATGTATCGTATCAATAAGGTTTTGCAGTTCTTCATAGAACCATCTCCTTTCATCTCTTGCCTTTGAAAATTCAGGTGCATAAATGCTGATGATATGCAAAAATGTAACCTATATCTTCTATACATATATGGTTCGAATTTAAGTTGTAATATTCCCACTTCTGTTTTAGCTGTATCGTTCAGATATATTTACTTCAGATATGCTGAAGATGTCTATATTCTTCGCTGTAATTTCCGCTAGTACTTCTTGATTCTTGTTCTTCATCTTTGATCTCTTTTCCTTTAATACGTTGCCTGGTCGTTGCACGTCTTCAGAAACTATTCTGAGATCTTAGAAACTCGAGATCTATTCTGAGTATAAAGACAAGAGATCTTCTAGAAAAAGTTTATTAAAACGTTATAAAGCATTGGTGAGTAAGTTTGGCTATCGAGGGTGTCTTCCCACTTGTTAGAATGGAATCGTTCGCAGTCGCGCTATAGAACGGTTGTCTTTAGAAAACTACGAATCGTTATCTAAACGTATCATAATATTGAATTGTTATAAATGATGGTAATGATACGAGTATCCCAAGCTATATTTCCGAACATTCTTTAGCCCTTATAAGACTTTTTTGTGGCATGATTTTTCATTAAGCTTGGGTAAATAACTTCAAACAGGGATGCAAGAAAGATCTTAAGAACTAGCGTAGAATAAGTCTTTTAAGCTCGAATCTGAAGTTATTTACTAAGATACTCAAGAAAAAATCTCCGCTCCCGCCATCGGCGAAGAGCAGCAATGCTTCAGGAAAAATAGGTCAACGATAGATATATACGGGTGACTGGTACATAAACGTGAATATTGAAATACGTTGTTCTAGAGCTCATTTGTTATTGATTAAGCCAAATCGGTATGAGTTAAGTATTTATTCAGAATTAAAAAAGGTCATTTTGCATATTACCAATAAGAAACCAACTGTAAGTCCAATTGTGTTTCGCGCTGAGTTTTTTTGAGTTAGAGTTAGAAGTTATGTCACATGATTGTGTTAATTTTTTTTTAATGTTAGTTGCTTAATTTTTTATGGTTGTCTGAATTAACGTTATGTTTTAGTGCCAATAAGCAACAATAAATAGTAGGTGTAATCGATTTTGACTTTTATTAACTTTGGGTAGGTTGTCAAAATTGTATTCGCGCCACTTGTTATCTTATTATTGGGTAATTAGAAAGACATTTTGCCATGCTTAATACCTTATTCGAAATGTAAGAAAACAGAGAAGTTTTTACAATAATTGGTACGCTAAATGTATTATCAAAATTTTGAAATAAACGCTCGTAAATGAACACATTATTTAAAAATTAACTTAAAAATCGAATATTTCACACCCTATANATTTAATTAAATTTTTTATTACTTTAATGAGAAAACAAGTCAAGAGACGAAATCGTAAATAATTTGTGTTATTGTGTTAGCCCAAAATCCTGGTAAGTTTACATCTTCCATAGCCAACTTAAAATTTTGTTTTTTATTTGTAGGTAGCGCTTTGCCGCGCAATGTAACATATTTTATTTTTTTACGCAAAAACTATCAATTTTAAGAGAAAAACTAAAGAGACAAAAAAGAACCACTAAAGAATGAGCTGTACAACCCATATTTTTCTATGTTAATATTGCATTGCGTTAAAAAGTTCTTCTAAAAAGAACCAAGGGGGTGGTGAATTTCATCCCCTTAGAGGGCGCTAGGGAAGCTTAAGGTATGCTAGAAAACAAGATGTTAACCAGTAGTAAATACATACCAAATTTCAAATTCTTCGGTTTACTTATAGCCGAAATAAATAATAAAATGTAAATTTTTAGCTCAACTTTGATCGCTCATAGCTCGAAAACAAAAGAGTTGCGACCCTATGTTTATATAAAAAACTTGTGTTATTTTGGCAAGTACTACGTCCTAGTAAAGTTTCCCGATTAAAAACGGAACCACCCTGTATATAGAAGACATATATTTCCGAAATTGCCGAGGAAACCATTGAAAACATCAAAATAGCATGTATTTTGTTTACCTTAAAAGTATTTGATCGAGTAAGACTCCTGGAAAAAAGAAAAGTGCATCCCGATAAAATAAATATTGTCGTGGAGCTGAACACCAATAAGAACTGTGAAAGGAGAGTACCCATACAAACCAGCATAATACAGAGACAGAAGTTAGGAAATGGTTATCAATTGGGAGCAAAGAACTGAAGATAGTTTGCTTAATATCTAATTTATAATTTACTAACAACTGCAAAAAACTTAAAAAAAAAAATTGTTGCTCTTTTTTTCAATATAAACATCTTATATTGAGCAGTCCCGTTGCAAATTGGCAGTATTCAATAAGCCTATAGAACAGGTGATCAGTATTAAATATCTTGCCGTCTATATTACAAGTAGCAGGAACCTCTAAGAAGAAATTATAGCTCAATCAAAGAAAGGAGGAAAAGTTTTGATATTTGGTTACATAAAGAACATAAGAAAGCAAAACATGTATTAGCTAGGTAGTAGAAAGCCTATTTCGCCTACATATAAGACCTATTTCGATATGCGATAAAGAAAAGAGTAGAAAATGTTACCACAAAATGAATCTTCAGAACAGCGGAGATGTGTGACTACAAAAGAAGTGAGGATATCAGAGAGATATGCGATACCCAGGACATTGTGAGATGGGTTCGTAAAAGAAAACGAGAATAGAGAGTTCATATTGAACGTACGGAAGAAACTTTTTGAATGCAAGACAAAAATGAAACAAATAGTTTTGAGTGTCATTGTTATAAGCCGGACAAAATTTAGAAACAAATACAGGTTATTTGTTTCTTTCAATGGTATAATTAATATATTCCGCAACATAACAACAATAATAATTGATTCCAAGGAAAGGTTTTTATTAACGAAACAAACATTCATTTAAAAAATATTTAGTATGTTTTTGTATAAATATATTTTTTACTTAATTATTCCTCGTAAACAAAGCTAATGTATTGATATGGACGATTATTTTTTATATAGGTATATTAATATTAATTGTTAATGCGTAGTGCTTCACGGATGGAGAAGTATGTGTTGCTGTGGTCGGTCCGAGATTTCATCCGTTCTTCCTGTTGGTTCCCTTTGGAAAGGGCCAGAGGTTTCGCCAAGATCTCACCTGGCATCTTCTGTACGTGTCGAGTCTGCCGACAGGGCACTCCTTTCCAACAGGAAAAACAGATCAAATCTCGGACCGACCACAGCAACACATTAATGTTAATTATAAATATATCTGTTGGAATTTGCTATGGATTTTATAAAACAAGTTCTTCACCATCCATGTATCTTTTGGAAAACAAAAATATTAAATCTTGGACTATTGGCATGTCCATCGCTGCCACATAATTTGCTAATTATTAGGTTAATATGATTTGACGAGCTTATTTACTTTTTATTCCAAAAAAGCACTGCTTCCGGTGTACCTGTATTAAGATATGCAATGAAAACGTACAATTTTGGCGCCAACGTGGTTTCATTAATTCCTGAATACGTATTAATTCACTTCATTGTTATCAGTTCTTTATAATGTCGGTATTACCAGCATGTATGAATATTTAGAACTTCGACTTGATAAAAAATCTCGGTTACTTGGCTCATTATTTTATGCGTTACTCATTACTTAGCTTACACCATTATGTTATTATAACATACCTTCTTTAGCAACATTACAAGGTAATATTTTTCTAAAAATTAATTTTTTTTATTGAAACATTTTTTTAATAACCAATGTACCATCTCATATTTCAAATCTTATATTTTGTATTATTTGCGTTTTTTTATACTGCAATCGGTGGAATGAATACTGTCGTTTGGACGGACGTTTTGCAATTTATATTTATGGCACCCTCTATGTTAATTGTTATAATAGGAGTGAAAAATGTGGGTGGTTTGGACGTAGTTTTCAAGAGAGCTTTAGAAAATCTAAGATTGGATATGTGTATAAATTAGAGATACATTTTGGCCTGGAGGTAGCTTACATTTTTCTGTTCACATATTTAATTTGAATGAATCAAAGTTTAATTCAAAAACCTCTATTAGTCCGTTCACTACAAGAAAGCAAAAAGTAAATTTGAAAATTAAAAAAAAAATGTTTGTGGTTAATTATTGAATAAAACAGCCTATCTTACATATTTTCTAATCAAATAACCTTACTTTGTTTCCATTATTTTTTACATAAACGTACATTTTAGAAATAACTATAATTATCAACAACCTTAAATAAAGTTACGCAACAAAAACACGCTCATTTAATTAGTAGTCATTTAATTATTAGTGTTACTTAAATAAACGATGGCTGTATTATTTTCATGGATCGATTACATAATTTGTATAGTAATGTTACTTGGTAGTACAGCAATAGGAATTTATCACGGAGTTATTTATCGACACTCTCCACCATCTGAGTACCTTTTAGGTAGTAAACGAATAGGTGTTTTGCCTATTGGTATGTCGATAACTGCAAGGTAAGATTAAAAATTCGTAAACTACTTATATTAATTAATATCGTTTCTTTGAAATTAAGCTCTTTGGCAGCTGTACCAGTTCTGGGATTCTCCGCAGAAACTTACTATTACGGCATTACAGTCGTTTTTGAATTACTTACCCAAATAATAACAGTTTTAGTTGTAAATTCTATTTATCTGCCGGTACTTTACAATTTAAAAATTACAAGTATTTATGAATATTTACAATTTAGATTTGATAGAAAAACTAGATTACTAGTTTCGGTTCTTTACATGTTCCATATGCTTTGTATGATACCTCTAGGAAATTACATCCCAGCGTTAGTATTATCTCAAGGTATAACTCCAATATAATTTTTAATTTTTTTTAATAAATAATTTAATTTCATTTTATGATAGTTACTGGAATATCAACTAAAATTCTAATCCCCACTCTTTGCTTCATTTGCGTCTTTTATACCGCTACTGGCGGAATTAGAACTGTCGTTTGGACTGATGTTTTACAATTCATTTTTATGGCACTCTCAATGATTATATTACTTATTGTTGGAATTATAAAAGTTGGAGGACTTGGTATAATTTATCAGAGAGCTTTAGAAAGTGGAAGATTACATGTTCAGTAAGTTAAAAAACTCTGTGTAAATAAGTATTGTTAATAAATAAGATTTTTAGTTATGAATTCGATTTAACAATCCGAGATTCCGTTTGGTCTGCACTTATTGGACATTTCTTTTTAATAACGTATCTTGTAGGAATAAATCAAAATTCAATACAAAAATGTATGTCTGTTCGTTCCCTCGAAACAAGCAAAAAGTAATTCTTTTTTGGTAGTTAATTCGCAATAATGTTTAATTACTTTTTATTTTTTATATAAATTAACAAATATTTTTTAAGAGCTTTTATGATGGCAGTTATTTTCTATGCTGCTATGACGTTTATTCTATTATTTACTGGTTTTGTTATATACGCTACATATCACGATTGTGATCCACTTACATCCAAACAAATTGAGAAATCAGACCAAATATATCCATTTTATGCACTTGAAGTGTCTAAGAATATACCTGGATTAGCTGGAATTTTTATAACTGGAATTGTAAGTGCAGGGTTAAGGTAAGAATTTATTTTTAATAATCTAACAATAAAGCTTAATTTGTTTACATAGCACTATGTCGGCTGGATTGAATTGTTCGGCTACGGTTATTTACATGGATTTCATCAAACCTCTTCTAAAAAAAGATATGAGTGATCAAAAAATTAATTTACTTTTAAAATCTTTAATTGTTATTATTGCAATACTTAGCTTAGGCTTAGCATATGGATTTGAACAAGTGCAAAATATTTATTCGAATGCTATTGCGTTGGTTGGAGCTGCTTCTGGACCAATATTGGGTATTTTTACAATTGGTATGATTCTACCTATGGTAAATTCAATTGTAAGTATAAAATTATTACATATTCTTCACAAATGCAGATAGAAATGTCATACATTTTTATAACTGAGTTGATACATATTATTTGTTATTTTGGAATTAATTGTTTTTAAAGTTCACAGTCTCTTGACATTTTTAACTGGGGTTTAAATGTATTGGTTAAAGCATTTACAGAGTTTGGGAATATGCAAAAACTGGAATGGTATGTGATTTGTTTCATTCGTTAGTTATTCATTTGTATAATACACCATTCTCTCTTACCCATACCATGTTAATTGGTCCAGAATGAAAACTTAGGTTGGGCTTTCTCAACAACAAATTGGAGCTGCAATTGCCAAATCAATAACAAATCTAACAAAAGTATTTCCATAATTTTAATTTGCAAAAAGGATTATTCAATCAGTTAACAATGATTTCTTGAAAATATAATCAACCTGCAAGTTGGAGCTATTATTATTACAGACAGTTACAGACATGAAAAAGAAAGTGGTTGAGAGTTTTTAGAGTTCTCTAGTTATTATCAAAATACTATACAGTTAAAATCCTATCTATTTCACGGCTGTAAAAATTAGGGTCTGACTTCGCATAAGTACATCGAGTCTTTTTTGTATGAAGTGAAGCGCTGCTCAGCAAAGCTGCGTTTAAACGACTAAGTTGTACTAAATCACTTTGTGTTGCCTTTTTTTGATATTCTAGTCGTTTCTCACGCAAAGTTTTAACAGTTTTAGCAGTGGTTTAGTTTTAGCGGTACATAATAGCCCAGCTAGATTTTCGGTTTTCCTGATGTCTTTCATTCAGTTCACGTGGAACCCATTTTCCCATCTTATGTATCTCTCCCATGGCTTTCAAACTTATAAAGACGGGTGCCTTTGAATCCATTCGCTAGTTATTGTATTGGAGTGTCATCCTCATCCAACTATAGTTGGATGAATTGCAAGCATATATGCTTGCAATTCGCTGTCTTCAAGCTTCTTCGGTGGTCTTCCATGTTCTTCGTTTCTTACGTCAAAATATTAAGCATAAACTTGGTTAGTTGCAAGTCTTAGAACAACGCTAAATCAAAATTGCAAATCTACTTCAAGTCCAAATAGGAGTTCGTAAAGGAGCTGTTTCGAAAACATTTTGCTAGTGGACTAAAATTAGAACTAACACTAGAAACTTTCGGGTTTTGCCGTGCGTCTTTTAAGAAAAGGTTTGACGTTTCGGATACCATGTTGCAACCTTCTCTAGAAACTGGTTCGAACTTCGAACTTGGAACCGTTTTAGTTCTAATTTTAGTTCAATTAACTCCGGCCGTGAAAGCCTTCGTACTTATATTTTGCTAGTGATTCACTGTCCTACTCATCAAAGGTGATAACCTACATTTGAAACACATCAAGCTGCTACAGTTTCCACCAAACTACGTCTTTTGATCAAGGCGTAATTCGGAAAATGTTGTACTGTTTTTATTAGATTCCATTCCAATGATAACACAAGCATAGCATATGGTTATGAAAGAGATAATTAGAAATTGCTTCAAGTTGCCAGTTCTGAATTATAAGGGTATGAATTTTGCTAAGACGGTGGGTTTGCTCAATGATTGTGACGATTCTAACATCCTACATGGTGTGAAATTATATTTAAACTGCAACACGAGAGTTTCGTGACTTTATGCAACTTGATAAAAATATCGCTACTTCGGAGGAACCTAGCAATATGGATATCAACGATGTATTAAATAAAGACAATCAAGGTGAAGATAACTATGAAATATAGGACAAATTGGGAAATATATAACTATATCTTCATCCACTTATTTTTGATCCATTTTAATCTACTTACTCCATGGTTAGAAGGTACTAAAATAGTTATAACATATGTGGAATATTGCGAAAATACCAAAATGTTGAACAATTCTTATGTATTTATGAGAAAATTGTATTTAAATTCTTAGACAATAATAAAGCATTTATTTAAGCAATCATACTGCAACGTACTCATTTACTGATGTACAACTCTACTGTATAAATTTTTGTCTGTTAGAAGCTTATAAAATTAGAATCTTAGTCTTAATCAAAAATAGTTAATACAGTTTTTGTAGGGTGCTTTTGTTGGAGGAGTGTTATCAATGTGTTTTGTATATTGGATTAGTCTGGGTAGTCAATTTTATAGAATGAGTAACCCTTACTCAACATTACCAATGTCTGTAAATGGTTGTCCAACTGAATTGGGTGTTTTCAACGTGACTCAAATAACACCAAACGAAGACAATGGTTTTATTTTATACAAAATATCATTTTATTACAACGTATGTATTGGATTTTTAACCACAGCAGTTCTCAGTATAATAATAAGTTGGTTTACACGAAACAAAAGTGCAGTAGTACGTAAAGATTGTATAGCTCCGTTTATGCATTTTTTGTTATCAAAAGAATCCGAGTATTCTCTAGTTAAGCAAACTATAATGTTAGAAAAGTAAATTAGTTATTCACATCTGTCTTTAATTTCTATAGTTTCAAATCTTGCAGGATAATTTTACAGATATGAATAGTGTAAGATTGTTCCTGAAACAACAAATGATTGTTTTAAATGCTTCAAAATCACTTTATTAGTGTAGCATAAAAACCAAGATGGTATTGTAAAAAAAATTATGAGTTCTTGTGTTTTTTTTTTTATTAGAATTAATAAATAAAGAAAATAAATACTGTTGTACTTAGAAACTTATTTCCAATCCATTAAATGTGCAATTATTTTTAAGATTTGAAAGATGAAGGATGTGGAACCTAAGTTCTACGAGAATTGTATTAGACTTAAATCTGTTGATAATAGTTTGAGATATCTGATCATCAAATAGAGTGCATAATCCAAACCATATTTACTATACATAATGGCTATATTGATGGTTAGTTGAGGATCATGTTTTTCCATAGAATATCCTCAAATTGTTGAACATTCGAATGGATTATGATCTACTAAACACGATTTAGATAAAGAAAGATATACACAAATGTGGTTTCAAACATTTTTGGTGCATCGACAAAAAACATTTTTTGATGTAGACTTGAATGCTTTTTAATAATTGGGTGGAGTTGTCGGATAAAGTCATTTTTAGATAATACAATTATTCGAAATTTCTGCAGTTGGTGTAATTTCTAGAAAATGTAAGTAAAGCAATCTTATGATTACAAGTACTTGATAAAGTTAGAGAGTCCAAGGTTTATGCAGAATGAATTTATTACTGTATTTTATCAAATGTAATAGGGTCAGAAAAAATACCACACTAACCATGTAATAATCAACTTTCGTTTATATAAGTCTTGTGGTTTCGACAGTACACAATAGTTTCAGGAAAATAAATTTAAAATAAACGAAGTAATTTTTTTATGGTGAAAACAAAGACTTACTTAGTTTTATGCAAAACGTTTCTGGTAAACTAAACACGTAGAGGTCGCGACGTTGGCGCATTGTTCTATCTTTTCATACCAATTATCCCACGGTAGTGCGAGAGGTAATATACACCACGCTCTATCTAAACAAATAGAGCACATTTAGATAGGGCAGTACGTTAGACGCCCACCACGCAGCCACGGAACGGACCCCGCCTTATCTAACAACAAATCAAACCCAACCCAGCACAGGGTCCGGGTGTTTATTATTTTCCTAAGGAAAAGATCGATAACGTAACACGTCAATTGATCTGCGAAATTTACACGTCGCCTCGAAATCAATTAAGTGACGCTGTTCGCGCAAACCCTCGGTGATAATTTTCGTTGGATTTCCACGCAACAACGGGTTTCTCGCGTAGGTGACTGTGTGCGAGCGTGATATAGGTGAGATTTTATTCAATGCAAATACGATCGGAATACTAAGCGGGATTTATGATTTATAACGTTGTGTGACATATGGTCGGACAAGGGCCGGTTCGCCTATTATATTTCCGATTCCGATTTGCATACCGTTTTATACCGATCTTATTATATAAATATGGCCGATACGACGGATTGTGCAGGTTATTGCTATTGAGCAACAAAAGATCTTTTTTTAGTTTTTACTTATACTGTTATGTGATTAAAATTTATAAGACTTTCTAGACGGTGCAGTCTTCTTCCCTTCTTCTTAATTCTGAGACTATAGTCATGATGATTCTTTTATAATTTTGAAAACCACACAAAAGATCTTTAATATTTTATGATATTCTTGCGTGATATAAATTTACTTCTAAACGTTCCCACTCCCACAAATTATCCATTTAAAACCATTATCCTTCACCCTAATTTTTAAATTCTTCAGAATCTACGGGGAGGTTGCATAAAATCGCAAAATGTTCTCGAATCGCTTTAATATTATAAGATTTAATGGGATGGAATTACTAATATGTATGTGCCCCCGGCTTTCGTGATAATCGGCCGTTGTTATCGGAGATCGATACAGAAAGAAATAATTATAGTTTGCGCGCACGCACCATTTTCTTTGTGGCAAAAGGGCGCAGGTCTATTATTTGGAACTGATGGTCTGATATCCATTTTTTTTAGCTAGGCTTTAAAAGGTATAAATTTATATGGGGTGTATACTTTTACATAATTTTTGCATTGTCTATGTAGAGGCTGACAAATAATATGTATTAAATAAAACATATCATGTTGCACGAACTGAATTTAGCAATTTAAAAGTGTTTATAAATAAAAAATCCATAACAATTAACATTTTATTTTATTTGCCATGTATATATTATATTCTTTCAATTTTAGAACAGAATCGTCCTGTTACAACTGTTTCTTCAGTGGTTGAAATATTCAATGTTATTGTTTTTCTCAAAATTGCAGCACCCACCATCTTCGGACTTTCCTCTGGCGAAGGATAATACCGATACAATATAAATTGTAAATATTTAATATAACACTAGTTCATGAACAACAATTGCTTTGGAATGATTCTTTATTTTAATTTTTTCCTATATTTATAGACTTAACATTGTAGCTGACTTAATGAAGATAAATAATTATCTCAAAATATAAACTACGCTCTTCAAAGTTACAAAAATTATTTATATATGTCATTATGCAACCGCGCCTCTTATTTATGTTTTCAACACGAGCAAGTGTCTCACCCGAGCGAGTATAAACATATTTGAATTTATTTACCTATTAACACAATTCCTTACAAGGCATCAAATATACGTAATATCTTAGTTTTTGGCTTGATGTTTTACAGCCTGCCACGATTACTTATTACTGGACATATTCGTGATTTTTATTGTAGACAAATAAATGTTGGTAAAAAACTTGTTGTGTATTGCAATTATTTTAAATTGGGCCATTGGCGACCCCTTTTGGGTGTCCGTACTATCAGTGCTTTTCTAATGTTTTCTGGCCAGATTTTTTTACGACGTACACATCTGTATACAGCGAAGCTGTAAGCATTGTTGTGAGCACTTTTTCATTATGGCATCTAACAAGGAAAAATGGCACATGAAGAGATCTCTCATCGACCAAGAGATTTTCCAGGTTCTTATGAGGGATTCAGATGATGAAACTTATCGCGAGCTATAGCTTTTGGCGAAGCATTTATCGACATGACGGAAACTGAGGACACAAGTGAAGTGGGCATCGAAAAATCTAACGAAAGCGATGCTATCACAGCACCTCATAAAGTACATGTGAATATGGTAGGGAAAGTGCCAGAAAAGTGAGTGAATTCGTTAGTAAAGAAAAATGTCTTGCCAAAAAAGAAAAAGTGTCTTCTGTGTTGGATTCTTTTAGACTTTTTGTGTCTGACAATATCGAACATCTTATATATGGTGTAAAGATACAAATCAACGAGGGCACAGAGTGACATGGGCACAAAAATGTTACATTTTATAGGTATTCTTGTTTTTGTTGGATAGAAGTTCACTGAAATATACAGGTGATGTAACATTAATTACTAAGCGGGTTAGTGTTGGTTGATTCAATTTTGGGATTTCATGGACGTTTATTATTTTGAGACGGTGAAGGTTAACCAAGGTACATTCGCATATTCTTGACATTTTTCAAGAGATGTCCGAAAGCTCATACAGAACATGCAAAGAATTACTTGGATTAAGCCATTGTGGAATAGTCCTATTTGTAGAATTAGTAAATTTATTATCTTTATTAAAAATTATATTACATATATACTTGGGAGAGCAATACAGCCAGAGTTATGGTCCACCCCACCCATTTTATTTACCATTGTAAAGATATGATATACTAAAATTAGAACTAAAATTAGTTATCTCTAGTTTTAGTTCTAATTTTAGTTCAATTCACACCGGCCGTGAATGCCTTCGTAATTATATTATTGTAAGTTCCACCATTAGTATTCTTGGCAGAAAATATGATCGATGATCTATATTTTAAAAATATCAATCCAAACATTCACAAACTAACGTCTTTGCTGACTCCGGCAATGTACAATATGAGGATTCTCATAGCACTAATAATCATCGGTGTGGTGATTGTAAACCCCTTATATTGATACAAGTATCTTCGAAGACATCTATGAACAGAGGATTGGATCTAAAGCTTATTTCTTAACAAATGTGTTTAAGTGGGTAAAGAAATATTTGGACATTTATTATAAAATATTGACATACTTACATTATTGAAATTATTATTTATTGAAATAACCTTTAGTTAATCATTTATGAGAAACGTGTTTCTTTGTCGTACTGGTACAACAAAATAAAATTTAAACTTTAGTAAAATAGATTACTTTCATCCATAAATTCCACTTTTACAATAGAAAATATGGAGCGCCATTTAACAAAATTATCGTACCCTTATAAATAACGGTGAAAATGTGTTACTGTTTTCTCTTTTCGCACAGACCAATTCATTTGAATACATTTTTTGATATAAAATGTAACGTTTTGGTGATATTCGCTTGTCTCACGCTAAAAGGACCACCATGTTACCGGAATGCCAATATATTGCATAAATCAAAATGGTATTAATTTTTATTGGCTAATATAGAGTAAATTGTATTGTCTCTAATTTTATCTTACAGTGGGAGCGAATAGAGGTTAAGATGAAATAAAACATTTAATTTTTCACGTTGTAAGAACAGAGTGGTTTCCATGCAGGAAAATCTTTTACTGATAGTATTTTCGTCCTTCAACAAATAATCGAAAAGCTGAGGATAAAGTAAAGGGATTTCCCATTCATTTAATCTTCATAGATCTAGAAAAGACCTACAAAGACCGTGCGTTTTCGGTCAATTTGGAACATTTATAGCAACCCCATGAGTGTCGTTAAGGTGGAAACTCGATATCTGACTGCTTTTCGATGACGAAAGATCTTAAGCATGGGTGCTGCCTAGCTCGTACCTTCTTTACAATATACATCCAAGAAGTGTTGAAAATAGTCTCAATATGGGTATAGAAATGGAAGATCAAAGGTTGACAACCCTATTCTTTACTAATGGCCAAGTTGTTAGTAAATGAAGAGTATGATATCGACTTTATGTTCAGGAAACTATGAACTACAAATAAACAACAAAATAGGAAAGAATGTTGACAGCATAATTTCGGATGAAGGAACATTTGGTAAAGATATTCAGAGCAGGGTGTAACAAGATCGAAAAAGTGTTCGTATGCTGAACTACTTATTAA